CAGAATTTGTCAGTGTGTTTCTCTGTCAGTATTTGGTGAATGGCTGTTTGTAAATGTATCGAAAAGTAAATACACTACAAGGCCACAACTTACATCATCTATTACAATTAATAAAAGGTAAACAATAGTATTTGTTGCATTTGACACAGTCCAACAACAGGATGTTAATTTGTGAGTTTCAGAGGATCTTTGGATTTGTTTATGCTTCTCATTTAACTCTGAGCAAGAAAGAGAATAAATGTGTTTATTTCCCTAAATGTCAAACGATTTCTTTAAATGAAGCCCTGCTGCTCAGTGCCTATTAACTACAGGAACATGTGTTTTTCAGCTGTAGACAGGTTTGACACAGATCATACATAATAAGAGACTGGTTGGTATAAAAAAAAAAAAACCACACACACGAAAAACAACTCCATGACAAAAACAAACCTGAAAAAAAAAAAACAAAGGCAGTGGAAACAGAGAGAGACTCTCGGGTAAATAAAACGACAGTTAAAAAGACAAAGGAAATAAAGGTAAACAACACGTGTGATCCCGATAATGTTGGGTGTGGCGAGCAGGAAGCTGCGTCAGCTCCGATCTCTGACTTGACGACACGCTCCAGTTTGTTTTTAATGCTGCTCCGCATCTGGAGTCTGTTATGTACATGTGCGTAAAAGCTTCTTCTTTTTTTTAAGGGCTGGAAGTTGCTTTTCAAAAAATGGTTAACATTCTTTCAAGACTTCATATATGCCTTTTTCAACTAATTGATTTTGTGTATAAAATAGTAAAAAATGTCCGTTACAATTTCCTAAAGCCCAAGGTGACGTTTATAAATGTTTCCTTTTGTCCGACCATTAGTCAGAAACTTAAATATTATACATTTAGGGTATAAAACTCTAAAATGGGTGGGAATGGTTACGTTTGAGAAGCTGAAACCAGAGAAAAAACAATGAATTATTAAATTACTGCCGATCTTCTGTCGAGCGATTTAATTTTCATGATCAGTTACCACCACAGTTTACTTTCTGATGGTTTCCTTTCTGTCAGGTGTTACTTGTATATGAAATAAAGAGTAAATTAACACAGGGTGACCACAGCGGAGCTTGTTATTCATCAGAGGGAATAAATATTACTGCATATCCATTCATCCATTCTTGTGTCAGAATACTGTGTGTGGGCAACTTTAAAAGTTGTTCAAGTTGAATAACGATCTAATATTTCCAACGCTGCTTCAGAAATGATGAATTGAAACGTCTCTGATAAAATATATACTTTTGTCATCTGGTCCCTATTTATATAGCGCTGTGTGGGAGGTAAGCTGGTTATTTGGAGCTTAACCTAATCTCTCTTTTATACTAGAGTTCCATCAGCTACATTATGTATATATTATAGTGTGAAGTCTAGATAATATCCTGGATTCAGTTAGCTCGCTCCAGCTACAGCTTGAGCCCTGCTTTTTTCTCTTTCATGCTTGTTGAGATTTTGTCCGATTTATTTATTCATTAAAAATATAAGGAATATTAGAAGTCCCACTGTGCAATGTAGCAAGTTTCTTTGCTGTGGATATTGGAAACAGGGATGTACTTGTAAAGTAAAGGTCACACGGAATCTCAAAATCCTGTCCTGAGCTATAACCCAGAGAAAGAAATGTGATGCTGTGAATTTAAACCTTAACTTTCTCCGTGAGCTGCGTCTTTGTCACCCTCACGGTCTGAAAACCTCTCAATAAAATGATAGAGATTTAAACAGAGTCCGATATACGTCCTCCAAAACCCCTTCCTCCTGTTGTATCATATATTACTTTGTAAAAGTGAAAATGCTAAAAGAAGTATGGCTTATTCTCCAAATACACCAGTCAGTGCTGGTTCTGGTATTTTAACACCAGGATGATAGAAATGGCCCAAAAACCAAGTTGTGCAACTTTCAGTCATGTAGCTCCACTTCTAATATCAAACTAACGAAGACTTCAACATTTTGGAAAACTCACTTACTCTAGCTGAGACTATTAGAACAAGTGTTCTGCAGAGCTGCTTTCACACGTGAAATGAACTCGTGAGAATCTGGGGTCGGGAACGTGTCCGAGAAGAGTTGCTGCGTTGTTCATGTGTGAAAGACAAACTCTGGAGAAAGTCCGCACCCAGGGCGGACATTCTCCGGAGTTCATGTCTGAAAAGTGAAAGAACTTCCAGAATGTCAAATTATTTCTTCCAGTGAGTGTGAATTGTTGTGTGTCTACATGTTTAGGCGTTTTTTTTTAATGCACTGAAATTTCCTGTGTGTTTGTAATGTAAAAAACATACAGAGAAGTTATTGGTGGAGAGTCTGAATGCTTTGAAAGTGAGAGAAAGGTGAAAATAAAATAGAAAATACTCACTTCTTCAAACAAACCCATCACAGCAAGCTACAGTACAGTACGACTCCGACACGTCGATGAATTCACCGGGAGGTCAGAGGTTGTGTCCTCGCCGAGAACGCCACAGCAGCGACTTAAAAAAAACAACCTTAGTGGTCCGTCTTTTACAAACCACACGCACAAGTATGAAACAAATTGAGCCATTGTCTGATATTACAAAAAAAAGGGGTTTCCTTGTTCAAATTGCACCGAGCTATCACCAGGTGATAAAACTCTGAGGTGTCCCTTTAACTTCAGTCGTTGTACAGTAACTCTTCCTTTTGGCTCCACACATCCATGAAAGAAAGCAGTTTTTAAAAAAAAGGTTCTTCTGATGGACTAGTTTTCCCAGTCAGTGCACGGGAGGCCCTCGTCCTCAGACTCGGACTCTGGTGAAGCCTCTTTGATTCTCCTCAGAGCCTCGTGGATGCTGCGGGTGAGAGCGTCGGCCGAGTGGGGGAAGCTCCTGGCGTGACGCTGCTGCTGCTCCGGCCGGGTGCGAACCTTTCTCAGCCGGACGCCCTGCCTGATCTGAGCCAGGATGTTGTCGCTGTCGTCGTCCGGGTCCGGGGCCAGGACTCGCAGCTCGGCCTTCCTCAGGTGGAAACTGCCGCGTTTGAGAGAAGCCAGCACTTCGTCCATGGGGGAGCTCGCTGCAGACACACACAGAAACAATTTACATGACTAAATAAAACACAATAAACTTTTGCCTAGACAAGGAAATGATGATTTGGTTTTTGTCGCCAGGCAAAAAAATGAGAAGAGGAAAGTATTTGTTTCACTTTGCATTGTGAAAATTAATTTGAAATGTTGAGAATTAAGTTGAACTAAATCAGAGGAGAGATTTTCTTTTGCTTTATTTTACATATCATGAGTGAAGTGAACTTCAATATTGACAATTTTATTTTATTTTCGAAATGCAAATGAAAAACCAATCTCTACTCGTGGCCTGCACACTTCTTAGAAGATGTTGGCTGCTGAAATGAGGAGGGGGAAGAAGAGACTGAGCTTCTATTACATTTTTTAGTACTTTAGTAGTATAGACAGACGTCTGGAGACAAATGTGGAAGTAAAAACTTTGATGCTGAATGTAGAAGTGATGTGATTCTGCCACATTGTAAACTGTTAATCAGCTGCTTGACAAGTATTTGATTTGCTGTCACCAAATCAACCAGGGATATTCGTTTCAATGAAACACCGTCTTTGTTTGATAAACGTCAGCATAGCAAGTTGCCTCCTCACCTCTCCTCCACTGTGAGGAGTCCAGCGAGGCCGTCTTCCTCAGCTTCGTCCTCGCAGTCATCAGCTGGCTGCTGTCAAAGAATCGAGGGCAAAATGGAGCCAGGGGCAGCGAGGAGGATTCTGACTCGTGTTGCAGCACCAGACTGCCTGCTGCAAGGGTCCTGTTCCCGTCCTCGCCCTGCTGCTGCTGCTGCTCTGAGGGAGGAGGCGGCGGAGGGGGCGGGGGAGGCGGAGGTGGAGGAGGAGGGGGAGGTGGTGGAGGACCCGCTGACAGAACAGATGGGGGAGCTGAGAGGGGAGGCAGCGAGAGGAAGGGAGGCGAAGAGGCGAGGCTTTCGAGTTCAACCGTTGGTAGAGACACGGTGTCGTAGCCGCAGGCGTCAGGAGGAGCGGAGAGCTGGGGGAGGTCGGAGATGCAGTCGGTCTGAACGCTGGCTGCCTGCGTGTTCGGCTGCTGCCCCGCCCTCCTCCGACTGTGACCCTGACTCAGACGCAGCCGGCTGGACTTCAGGGTCACCTGGCCTGGGTAACGCTGTGTGGGGAATAAACAGAGTGAGCGGTGATGACGGGACAGAGGAGGCCGGTCGAGTTGAACGTCAGACTGCGGATGTTCTCACCTGATTGAGGCTACGGAGTCTGTCCAGCGTCCTCTGCCTCTCCTGATTCACCCGGTCATTTTGTTTGGCTTCATCGTCTGCTTCAGCTTCTCCTCCCTTTACAGGAAACAACAGAAGATAACAACTAATATTTATGACTGTGTGCAAGTTAGTGCAGATCCAAATAAAAACTCCAGATCTAGTGAATTTAAATGTGGCCTCTAAGGAGACTGTCGGGCCTTGGTGCAGGTATATGCTCTGTGGGTGCCATCTTAGTTGTAGTCCGTTGATTGATTGATTTGTTCACATGCAAAATAACTCTGGTGTTTTCCTGTTTAGTGCCATTTGATTTTGCTGGTGTGAAAGTTATCAGTTATATATTCATGCACATTCTTCAGTAACACCTGTTCATCAGTACAAGTGTTTTAAATATCAGTCTGAAGACAAAACTGTAGAAACAGGTTTGAGTTGTGTCCTGTTCCCTGTATGTGAGCTGGTCCTCATTAAAAACACTTAAACAAACCCCCAGTAATGTCACAAAGCAAGACCCCACCCTTTTCCCTCACTTTACTTCCTGTTCATCACTATTAATGATATGCAGGGTCTAGAGGAAGTGTGAATTATTAATGCTCATAATAAATTATTTCTCCACGAACCTATTAGAGAATACAAATTAACACCCTGGCAAAATTCTGCAGGACTTTCCTTTTCCATGGCTCTGTGCTTAAAGCTGACAGCCTCTTGGTTTACAACAGACAATAACAACAACAACTAAAAGGATCATTTGACAAATGTAGTTTTGATAAATTCAAAAACACAACATCTGAGAACATTCAGTTTACATGACGGTTGCATTATAAAGAATAAAGTGCAAATCCAGATTCAAATTCATCATCTCAACAGTCAGTATTACCTTAAACCAGAACTAATCAAATTCTAACAGCTGATGCCTCAGGTCTGTACAAGGTGCAATAAAATTATAAATGATATTCAACCTGAACAATCAACAAAAGCTTCTCAGTGAATCAAAATGTCTTTGATTTGGAGGAAATTCGTATTAATCTTATGCTGTGAATTGTTAGATAAAGGTAAGTCATCAAGTGAAAACAACTGTAGTGACCTCTCTAAACACTGAAGCTGTCAATCAGTTTTTTATGACATTTTCAATTTAATTGTGCAGATTATTTACCACCTTCTGCATGTGGTTGTTAAAGGTTCTGTCCACTAGAGGGCACACAAACATTAGGTTACCATTACATTAGGTGTGTTCGCATAGTGACAAGGGCCAACTTTGCTTCAACACCATCATCGTGAGAAGATTTTGGCTGGTGCTCACACATTCAGATGTTTGTTTGAGGGTTAAGATTTGGTTTTAGGGTTAGAATCAGGTCTAGGTTAGGGTTAGGCTTTCAGTTGTAATGGTTATGGATACGGTGAGGGGCTAGAGGATGCATTATATCAATGAGTGTCCTCACAACTATAAAGAGAAAAGTGTGCGTGTGTGTTCTTCTCTCCTTCCCTCTTTCCCGGAGAGTGAGTAAACACAACCACATTGCAAGCATTATGTTTTCACATGCGGCTAAAGCCAGAGGGCAGAGTCCGAGGCACAGCTCGTCCAAAACACAGCAGCCGGACTTTTTACATCTCTTCATTGTCTCCTGGTAAACTTTAAAACTGATTTTAAGATTTTATTGCTAACGGTTCTGAACTTGCACCTGAGAACATTTCAGATCTTTAGGCACCGCTAAGTGCCCGCAGGTCCAACATCACACAGTCGGCTAAGGAGCAGAGGTGATGGGGCCTTTTTTGTCAGAGCTTCTACTGAGGAGATCCGTCTGGTAAACTCCTATCGGATTTTACTGTCAGTTTTTACAATGTTATTCTTATTTTTATATCCGTATTTGTGCTCTAATGCTATGTGATCTTCAAATTGCTTTTAACTATTGCTTCCTAATTTTTATTTTTAACTTGTAAAGCACCTTGTAACTGTGTTTTGAAAGGTGCTATATATTAGCATACATTAGTAGTATTAAAATACATAAAGGAAGCACACAGATAAAAGAAAAATACACATTAATTTAGTAATGGGAATCAAAAAGTATTGATTTTTTAAATATTTTAATTTAATTTGACTCTCAAAGTTCAGGATAGTTGTGTGCACTGTTTTGTCAACGTCTGGGCATCCTATTTCTATAACAACAACCAGACATGGAGCCTATCCCATGACCCCACTCAATAGCCCACTTCACTGTAAACATGTGCACCTCAAGAAGGAAGGAAGGGCTTGACTCTGGAAAGAATTACTGCCTGTGACTGGTCTCCTTCAATCCCCTCACTCCTGCAGCTTCAAATAAAATGGACTCATAAAAAATAAATAACAAAGGTCAGGCCACAGACACAGTTGTCATCTTGTTCGTCCTAGAACCAAACACTTCCTGCTTCCTGCCGGTTCTACCATCTGGTACAAAATACCACTCTGTTTAACAATGCAGCAAATATGTACTGTGTGTTCATCCCATCAGATCAGGCCATGATGAATCTTTGAGTTTTACCTGTTGCAGTGCCTGAGGAGACCTGGTGTAAGCAGGGCCGCCTTGGCGCTGCTGGATCTTCTGGTTGTGATTGACAATACAGATTTCCTATGAATGAAAAGAAATAAAACCCAAATCATCAAAACATCGGAATTTTCCTGGAGGCATCTCCACAACACTTCATCGTCGGTCGTCAGCGCTTGCCTTCTTGTTTTTGAGGTAGACTTTCTTGGTGGTGATGCGACCCCGGCGAGCCTCCAGCTGCCGTGTCCTCTGCTGCAGGACGCTCAGGTCTTCTTCTCTGAGGGGGGATGGCGGCGATGCGGGGTCTTCTTCTCCCTTCATGGCGTCAGGGCTCTCAAAGGCATCGTAGTACACAACCTCATCCTGACGCTCTGGTGTAACATGAGAAGAGATTCATCAAAAAGCTGCTGGGACCAAACACTTAACAGTTAATATACTTATTTATAAAATAAAATGTATGACTAATTTGATGCTGCAGCATGATTTCAAAACAGACCAGAAACTAGGTCTTCTTAAGAACAATACAACAATGGTTAATGTATTTATAGAAAATTATTTGGCATCTAGATTATGTTGATGATGATCAATCAGTTATTTTTCAGGCATAAATATTAAAATATCTCCTTAATGATGAGAGTTATTTTATTGCTTATCTTTACCATACAACAGGAAAAACTGTTTGGATTTTGGAACAAAACAAGCAGCCTGAAGACGTCACAGTGGTTCTGAAAAAACTGAAAATGGCATTTTCTCAGATTTCTTAAAAACATTTGATAGAATACTAATATATGAACATGATTTAATGGTAATGACAATGATCAGAGATCTTGTCTAAATTGTTACTTGATTTTAAACCCAATAAAATATCTGATAAGACAAAAAAACACCAAACAAATATGTTTGGTCCATTAAATTTGGTTATTTTCAGAATATTGTTGTGTATTGACTGACACAGTTGAAAAATAGTCAGTGCTGTGTGGCAACAAACTTGGTCATGGAAACATTTTGTAAATCATCTCAAACATATCTTTGGAATCTCTGAGCTGCAAATTCTTGTTATTGATCGGCACATATATCACCCAATAAGAACCCGTCTGAAATAAGCAGACACCATCATGCTACACCCCCCTGTGTCTGTCAGATTGTATATTTTCCCCACACAGACGGAAAGCACAGACACTGCAGTCTGTCCCACCTGTCATCTGCCTGCGCAGACTCTGCAGCTGAGCGGTGAGCAGCAGCTCTTCACAGCGCAGCACCTCGGCCTGGATGTCATACAGCTGCATCTGCAGCTCGTAGTACAGCTCCTCCAGCTGGTCCAGGCGCAGCATGGCGTCCTCCCCGCCTTGCAGACTCTGCATCTAGATTCAAAGCCACATGATTATGTTACACTTCCACAGGACTAAAAGGCACATGCTGCAGATTTAGCTGATTTTCCAAAGTGCTTTGCAGCGCTACCTGATGTGCATTTGTTTTAATGGATATAGAACCTGAGGCACTTTTGCTGCTCTCGCTAAGTGCTGCTCCACACCACACTAGTTTAGGAAAGGTAAACTGGAGTTTGAGAGTATTCTAAAGATAATATTGTTACCCCGGCGGTCATTCCCATTGAGTCATTTCCACTGATGCAGACCAGGATGTTATGGACTCTATCACAGGATGTCTGAGCCGTGAGGTCATTCTTCCAACATGGCCATTATATCTAGCTGTATTATTCAAATGTCATCTCTCTGTGGTGTCATTGGGGCTTTGGGGTTAGGGTTACTAACATACTGAGCATTGCAACCTCTTTAAAAACACACCCAGTTAAACTTCCCAATCTGACACTGTCACACAACTTGGTCTACATGACTGACGCATTACCTCCTCCTTCAGGCCGTGTTTCCTCTGCTCCAGGCAGATTTCTTTGGCCCTCATCAGCTGCAGAGTTTCTCTGGAGAAAGCGTACTGCAGACGCTCCATGCGTTCAACTGCTGCTGCCCACGCCGACTTGCCAAACTTCTTCTGGTCAGCACGCATACGCTCAAACAGAGCTGCAACACAGATTCAGTACACGGTTGTCAGACGTGGATTAGAGCTGAAACAATTAGTCAATCAATAATGGTCATTTTGTTGTCAAGTGAATGTCTTTGAGTTTTAGATTGTTGGTCACACACAAGGAGACATTTGAACATGTTTTACTATTTTACTCATGCTGTAAAACCAAAACATTTAATTCTGAATTATGAAAATAACCGAGAACATTAATGTTGACTGAATGAATAAACGCTACATCAGTGTTTGACAATAGCTCTTTGACTCAAAACCTAGTTAAGTGAAACCTATTCCTTAGCAAAACAGCAGTCAGTTGTTTCTTTGCATAGCTGAGAGGGTTTGAGGATTAAAATAGTTTTGGAGCAGCGTGCGGGGAACTCTGGCATGTGAGAGGTCAGAGATGAGGGTGCAGTACAGGGAAGGTTAGTTTGAAATCCTTTCTGTGTTCACCTTTCTGGGATCTAGTCGTGGTTTCGAAGAACTTGACGGTCAGGTCCTGTATGGAGAGAACGGCGGCGTGGGCCTTCCTCTGCCACTCCTCATCCTCCCTCCTCAGGCCCTCCACACGACGAGGACCCAGCCGCTCCGTCTCCAGAGAGATCTGAGGGGGTTAAAACAGGTCAAATGAACTGTGTCAGCATGGGCAACAAAGATTAGTCAGAAGAAATCTCTTTACATCTTTAAATCTGACAAACACTGTATGACAGCCTCAGACAAGATCCAGACAACTGTGCCCCAATATTATACAGTCTATTGGAAAATATATACTATTCTCTATCTCCGAGTTGTTTGACATAACAAAACTTTATATTAATGGATTTATGGATTATTCTTGTTCATCAGCTTGGTAGATATCATAGACTCTATGGGTAGATACTCATACCCTCAGTTTTGGGGGATACAAATGGAAAGTATATTGTTGCTATGGATTCAGTTGGTTAGCTGCAGATAACTCCCTATTGAGCCCAGTTTCCTTTGTCTACTCTTTGCTTATTTGTAATTTTGGACAACTGGCACCAGTAAGAGTTAAAAGTTAAAAACATGATGATTCACTCTTGGGCCTGTTCTGAAACTCTTCAGCATCTCCATTTCCATCTATGTCTCAGGAAATGTAGGGATGTTACTGGACACATTAGATCATGATATCCTTACTGTCACACTGAATCTAAAAACTTGTATTGCAAATGTTTTTGAAGACACACCAGCTGAAGCTTTTGGAACTAAGGTAAAAGTCACCTGATCTGAACATCACTGAAAATCTGTGTGTAGATCTGAAATACAGTGTGTGCAGGAGCTGAAGTGAGCTGCGGTAAGGGCCGACAACAACAGGCATCTGCTGGCTGTGATATCTGCCAAAAGAGACGGGTTTACCAAGGACTGACTTTATGGGATGCCCAAACTGTTGCCCATTCTACAGCACTGTTTCTTTTTTGTTGAAATAGAAAATAGCAGTGCAGGAACATCAATTGCTAAAAAAAAAAAAAAAATGTAGGGAACACTTAATCCTCACTGTAAAACACCAAGTGAGTTCAACTTTAGCTCCTCCAGGATGGCTCATCCATACGTGCGATCACAAGAAGGTGTGCTGCTTCTCCCAGCACAGTCTCAAGAGCATGGAGGAGATACCAGGAGACCGGCCGTTACACGAGGAGAGCTGGACAGGGCAGTTTGTTGTAATCAATAATGAGAGCGGAATTGGTCCATTGATTCAATCAGAGCGGGCAGGAAACATTATATCCCGCCTCCTGCAGCATCACTGGGAAAGAAACACCAGGAATGGATTTGGGAGAGGCCACGATCTCCCCCATGAAACAATACAAAGTGTTTTCAGTGGCATCATCAGTAGTATTATTAATATGACAGAGTCTGTACAAGACAGAACACAGTGGACGTTGTACACCGTTATTTTAAAAAGCGAGTACTTCTTTTCTTTTTTCTCAAGTTAATGTGGTACTTCTACTTTTACTTGAGTACATTGCTGTCAATTTATTAGTATTTTTACTTTAGTAAAATATTTTATAAATCTAACAAGGAGTATCATCATTGACAAACCAGACTGACAGCTTTAAAATAGTTCAGAGCTCTATCTTCCTGATGTTTTTAAACCACCTCCCTCCCTCCACAGCTCACCTCACAGTTTGAGAACCCACTGCTGCAGACCCTTTTCTACAGTTGCTCTGTAATACTAGCAACTAGCAGCAGATGGTGCTAACAGCTACTCATGACAGTGAGGAATGCCTGTGCTTGTTTATGTCTCGAGTCACACTAACCTAGTGTCCTACTGGGCTGGCATTTAAAGATTTGGAAAATAAAACAAATCCTCGAAAACAAAAGAAGTCTGATTGCACTCAGGAGGGAGTTGAGGTTACGTGGCACAACTCTGTCAAACAGCATTCTTTTCTCACAGCTCTCCGGCTCATGTCGTGTCAAAAGAGTGAGAAACGGGGAAAAAACAGTGCCACGTGGAGTTCTGTCCTGGGAGTTCACTGAAACACACAACCTTCAGGAACAAAATGTACACAGCTTAACTCAGGGCCTCCTGCACAGAGTCATACATTAATATTTCAATGTATAGCAGATGTGTGGAGGTGCTCAAAAATAAACAAGGATGTGGCAATCGCCAGCAAACCTCGAAGGCCTTGATTTATGTTAGCATACCCACTTCTTTGTACTGGGAGCGTGTGTGTGTCTGCACGTGAGGGACAAGAACTGGGAGGGTCTTTTTCAGTGGGTGAAACCATGAGCGAGAGGGGGAGGAGAGATTACGTCAGAGACCAGCAAGAAAACGAACAGAGAGAAGCCAAGAGCAAAAGGTTTCATATTAAAGTAGAAATTGAACTCGAGTCCCTTTGAGCTATGATCTCAGCGTTCAGATATGTTGACTGTTCAGTGTGCTGTAAGTACAGTAATGTAGAGCAGTGAAAGAGCTGCACCCACATGCAAACACATGGAACAATAGTCCCAAGATCTCCCAGCCAGAGAGCAACAAGTGGATGACTCCTTTGTCTTCACACTGTGACACTAATGGCATCTGAAACATCTGTTGTATAACCAGGGTTGGGTAGTAACAGATTACATTTAATTGGGTTAAAGTCAGATCACAAAAAAAATAAGTAAAAATATAGTTGCAGAGTCAAGGACTGCATGATGAAACATTTGGATTATGTCTTTATAATATTGTGAAATACTTGATTTCATTCTAGTAACCAATGAAAAGTATGTCTGATGTACTGGGTGTATTTGTTAAGTGTTCCACTGTCGAGCAGGAAGGAAATGACCAGCGCTGAGTCAAGATGGATGGTTGAACGAGCAGAAGTCTGCAAAATATCCTCCCATTAATTCCTGGCAATATCTCCATGAGTCATCTTCAACTAGAAAATGTACTTAAAAATTGTGAAAGCCAAACTAAAGCTGAAAACACCTGAACTTCAAATCTGCGATGTCACAAAGAGTTTCCTTCTTCTTGACATCGATAAAAATAGGGGATAGTCTTACATTGGGTTTTGCAATTTGTTTTGCTTTTGTTGAATTTGTTTGCTTTGTTTCATTTTCACCACCGTGCTGATCTATGAGATTGAATTCGATCAGGATCTAATTTGCTCCCATACTCATCAGATTATTGTTTCCACCACAGCAATAAGAATAATAATGTCAGACGGTTAACTTGTTAGATAAACACACTATTGCTGAATTTGTAAAACACATGTTTTTGAGGTGTTGAGAATATTTGTAGAACTAAGAATTTTGCAGCCACATGCACTTTTATATACAATATTATTCAGATGTAGAGGTTTTTGTGCTTCAACGGATTTTTTCATTAATTAGAAAAAGGGCCAGGTCATTTGTATCCAGTAACCAAAGTGATCTGACCCAACCCTGTGTATCTTCAACTCCTTTGCATGTTGTTGCTGACGTGCCGGCTATTGATTCAATGAATTGTCTGTTTCACTGGTTTCATGCAAAGCAGAAAGAATCAACGCTCTTTTCTGGCAATAAACAGCTCCTGTAAATGTTCAGAGGCCTAAAGGTAGTTGGAACGTAACACTTCACACTTGTATACGTTACATCGTGTCTGTCTGGAAACACGGGGAAACATGTAATTATCCTCATTGTCTATGCAGCTAGTTGCTTAAAAGAAGCTGATGAGTGATTCGCTTTCTTAAAGGATGACATGATGGGGAAACATCTTTAAAACTCTATCGTCTCTGATCGGTCACTCTCCCTCTCAGCTGCAGCCTCCTGATGTCACCCGGTAACCTGACCTAATCCCGACCCGCACAATGTTTACACCATTCATTCATCACCACTCCTAAACATACAGTGGGAGACACACAGAGGAGGGAGACGTGTCATTGAGAACGCTACATGTGTTGAAGCGTCACCATAGTTTTGTGTTTTAGCTGAGACGCGGATCTGCGTGGTAACTCGAGATCCTCATGTTTTGTTAATGTTTGGGATAATAAAGCATTACGTGTGTTTCCAGGTTCTCCAGCAGCTTGTTTATTGACTCCTCTTTTTGAGGCAGCGTGGAAGAGGTGATTGAATGACTTCCTTTAGCACCTCTGCTTAACAGCTGCTGATGACAAAACACAGACGTGACAGACTCACTGAGAATAGAAGTGACGTAAGTTCCCGCAGTATACTGCTGGGATTACAGCATGGACACCGTCATGGTGGCCCTTATCTCATTTGGTTAAAATAGCCTGTAAGAGCCTTTTTCTTAGTGATGCGGTTTTAGATACGAGGCAGTCTTTATCAGGCAGATGCAACAGCCTCCTTCCACGAGTCTAGAGTTGAAAATAGAAACGGTGGTGAGAACCTTTCTTGTCCATTAACTTGATGCAACTAAAAATCATTGAAGCACAGCTAAAGCTTGTGCCAAAGAGCTCCATTGTCATAAGGTGACATTGGCCCTGTGCTTTACTTTGAGTCTGAAAGTAATTACAACATCCTGCTCCCTGAACTAATCACTGCACCACATGTGTATTAATCCACTGCTGAAATAGGTGCAGCGTTTCCCTTTTTGAGAATTGTTTGCTAAAAACAATGGTGCGCATCTGTCAAAGAAAATGATTTTGTCTTTTTTAAGAAATAAAACCATGTCAGTGAAACACATTTCTTATTCATTTCTTAAATATTGAGTAGGTATCAGTGTACAGAGGGGTGAGAGCCACAGAGAAGAGGAGACCGAATGTAAAACACCCTGGAAAGGTCAAACCTATACTTGTATCAGAGTTTAGAAAAGAATCTGCAGAATTGGGTCCCAGATTTTATCCAGAGTTTTCCATTTTGCACATGAACATCGCAGCAGGAGATTCTTTGCACAGTCGGTTCACAACACAGAAATCTCTGGAGCGCTCACTTGGTGCAGCAGGCAGAGGCATGATGCAACATATTAATTCATGTATGTGTATTCTATGTATATGGCACAGCTTTTATCAGATATTAGTATTCTGTTTTGTTCAGTTTTGCACGTGTCAAGTTTTAGAAACGTCATCACGCCCACTCGGTCGATGTGAACTGTTGCTGGCCCCCTATGGGGGGGGGGGGGGTTGATGATGCAAGCGACAGATGCAAAGCGCTGTCGCAGTCGATGTGCATGTGAACTCAATCACATGATCCTCGCAGTGGAATCAATACGTTCCATCCTGCCTCTGTCTGCTGCACCACCCCCTCACCTGAATACTTTGGAGGATTTTTTACTGTTGTGAACGCACCTTAGCGGACAACCCCCCACTGTGTTGTGCATGTGTGAAAGGAGAACTGTAGAGACAGTCTGGACCCAATTCTTCAGAGTTCGTCGACAGGACATGTCTAAAAACAGCTATACAGTCCCTCTGGAGAGTGTCAGGAGATTATCTGGACTTCAGTGCGTATCTGAAAGCATCTTATGATACAAGGCCTCAAATGCAGGATTTCTGATATGTACAGTTTTACCTCTGGGTTTTCTTTCTACAAAGCTGTCTCACTTCTTACTGATGTAAATCACCATTGTACCTTATGCTGAACAACTTCAGTTCAAGACACTGCGTAACTGCTGACCACTTAGATCACTAGAAAAACCAGAGTTGTTGATCTACAGGATCCTTGTCTTTCAATGTGTCCACTTTGGTTTTTAAACAAAGCTTCCAACAAACTGAGGGAGAGCTTATTACACTAAATAAATTCATAATAATTTTCAGTGAACAAAGATTCTCGACAGACCTCGTTAGACTTTGAGATGATAATTTGAAATGGTAACTAAAACCTCTGATGTCTTTTATTGGATAAATTATCCACACAAGGTTTAATGTTTCCCATTAGAATAAATGTCCATTTGTTTATTTGTTTGTCAGCCTGATTACTTGGTGGAAGGCTGGGACATGGGCCAAGAAAGAACCCATTACACTTTGGTGTGAATCCAGAAAAAGGGGAAGATCTAGGAGTTAGTTTTTTCTTCCACCTTGTAAATGTTTGTTGTCATTTTTGAAGATTTCCCAGGGAATAATTCATGGATCCTGCACAACTGTATCACATGTTTGTATTAATTTAATTTAACTTAATAAGATGTGCTTATGTGCAGACTATCTATGCACACTGGTGTTTCTTTCTTTTCTCTAATCATATGATCATGTTGTTTGTATTTCACCATGCTGAATGTCACTTTTGTCTGTTACTGTAATTCAATTTCCCAGCAGATATCAGTGTTTGTTCTCATATCATATTAAACACTTAATTCAGGGTTCAGACGATGTTGCTGCCTCTTCCACATTAACGTGCTCATGGCTGGAAAACCCAGAGTTAAGTGAGACAGTCGATAACCAGCTCTGTTGAACAGCTTCTCCAGGATGACCAATGTTAGGTTTATTGAAGCCTGATAACAGAGAGGTATGTTAAACTAGCTCACGTGATCACCCTGGCGACTGTTGTCATGTAATAGTGGAGTTGATGTGAAACAGTAACTGGAGCTCACTGCGTTACAAAACTAACTCACACAGAGAAACCACATTTTTAATTCATGACAGTACTCAGACCCTCCAGGGAACAGGACACCCGTGCTGCAGCACACCGACATGCAATAGGACTGTCCCACAATGCACCATTCACCAAAATAGTTGACACCCTTTGTTTCATTCTGGTGTTCATTCATTCATCTGTCCATCTGCTGTGTCATTAACGGACTCAGATAAAACTGAGATGTCTAAAACTGGATCAAGTGGAAAGCTGCATCTCTGCAGAAAGACACAGATGACAAAACAAGTTATTTTGGACGTTACCTTGTTTCATGTGTGAGAATTTTCTATCTATTTTAAGCTGAATTTCTTTCAAGTAATTTGATGAGTTTTCAGAAGTTGTGATGGACATGATTCACCTCACGATTAATTGATTTTTTATTTTAGAGACAAATTAAAGGTACAGTGTGTAGAATTTAGTGATATCTCGTTTTGAAATCACATGTTGCAGCTGAACACCCCTCACCTCACCCTCTCCTTCCAAACATGAAAAAGAAACTGTGGCAGCTTCAGTTGTCATAAAAACTCAAAAGGTGTTTAGTTTGTCCAGTCTGGACTAATGTAAAAAACATGGCGGCCTCCATAGAGAGGGTCCCCTTGATGTAAATATAAAGTATTTAAATATAAAGGGACTTTTCTGGGGTAAAGAAAACTACAATTCATACAATTTAGATGAAATGAACTAGTGAAAACATCATGAGGATAGACCAGTAGATCCCTTTCACCTAAATCTTACACACTGGACCTTTAATCAGAAACAATTCAATAATGAAAATAACTATTGATTGCAGCCACAATCAACTGTAAAACTGTTTAGCATCTGATTGACACGTTTGAACCGTGACTCCAGTTCATTTACAGCTTGAGGCCACATGGATGAACAGGTGTCACGTGCCTTTACACTCACAGTAAAACCCAGAACAGGCTGTAATTCCAGCAACTGATACTCAGCTGCGTCTCTTTGTTTCCCCATCTTTATTTTGCCACATCAAGCAAGATGCAAACTGCATGTAAATTAAAGAATCCTGTGTCCTAAGTCCCAAAGCGCTCTCCTTCCCTTTTTTCACAAAACGATAATCTCCCTCATGATTCCCTGACTCATCAGTTTGGGAGCAACCACCCGTGTCTGCCGGCATCAGGGACTCTTTTGCATACAGCTTTGTTTTCAGTCGTTGGATCGCCCTGAGGGGAGCAGGTGGTAAAACTTGAGACTTTGGCATCGAGCAGAGTTCAGATTCTCAGGTAGAGCCATAAAGCGTGTCACTCGGAGTAACGTGTGAGCGTGGCTCACTAATGTGTTTTTAATAGTTTTTAGAAAACAATGGAGCTCTGGCGCACAGGAATAACATATGTCAAGCTTGGGAAACACATGTGATACTTGCCAACAAGATCAGTTCATTGTTGGTTTCCCTTTTTTTTCATGAGATTCATAGACAATAACAAGATTATGTATATACCATATCGCCAGATTTGAAGGGGAAAGTGCAGCATACATTATGGTGGTTCTATGAAATTTCTAAACTTAGATCAGCACCCGCCCAAGAACCCAAATTCCATCATAATACACAGTCATAAACACACCCACGCAGTCAGTTGTGCTGGTTAGTGACACAATGCTGGATAAGCATGCTTTGGGAGGAATGTATCTCAGAGAAGGGAAAGTACTTGCAGCACAGCAGAGGACGAATGACAGCGAGTCCAAGACAGACACAGTGGCAGAGATATGGACAACATGTGTCCAGTCATCATCGCTGCACAGACAAACTCAGGCTAACAAGACACAGACTTTGTCCGACTTTGGCCACAGTTTGCGTCTATAGAAGAACTACTTCTTCCCAGAGTCATCAAACATGAACACACACACACACACATGATATACATCTTTTTAGATTCACTGATCCAGAGATACTACTCGTATAAAAATTCATAAAGTAGCTTATAAATTGATAGAAAACAAATCTTTAAAACTTGTCTGATAATCATCAGGTTTTCAAGATTTCCCATTATGTAGAATTAACGCTGTGACAGTTGTCTGTACACCTGCAAACACAAACTGCTTAATGCTGCAGGTTTGCCAAAATGGAAACAAAGGCAAAAAACAAACAAACAGCAGCAGTTAGAATGTTGCTGCTGTTGTGTTGCAATAGCTGCCATGATATTTGGATAGGCTAACCACATTTTGGCAGGCTTCATAATATACAATACACACACACAGAACACATTTGTAACAGTAATATATGGTGAAATAACATTCTGTTAAATGTCTTCCCTGGTTGCTAGTTTTAGCATTTATTTCATTACATTTTTCCAGGAGCAACACAGATAATGACATTAACTACTAATAAAACTGGTTATTTATTTATTTATCCATGAGGTCTGGGTAACACTAATGATGCTAACTTAATAAAATGTTTTCAGTATTGGATGAATTGTTGTCGGTGGATAAAACATATTCGTCCATTCTCAGACTGTATTTCAATATCATTCCATGCATTTGTCCAGAAATCACCTTAATGAACAGTGTGTCACTTCTTCCTGCTGGGCCATTAATCAAGTAGGACTGTGACCTGTTGACCCGACCAGGCATGTGTTCACACTGAACCCAGCTCTATGAAGGCTCAGAGACAGGAGAGATTAGCCTGCAGATTTACTTCCCTTTTCAAGCCTCTAATGAAGTAAAACAACAAGGATGGAGTGGAGAAAGAGTGTGGAAAACAGAAGAGTGCGCTGAGGCTGCAGAATTACTGAGTGGTTTAGTGGCTGCTGTAATAATACTTATGCTGGTTGTTAAGCCGCTCTGGGCGGGGGGAAAAAAGCCTCTCTGGCTGATCCTCTGCCCTCCACAGCCCCCAGATGCAAAGCTAGACGGTAGCACGGATCGGGTACTACACCATCACTACCACACGTAGCCTCAGCAACTAATGCTAATGTCATTACAGTGGGCTTAGAAGGGCAGGCTCAATGGAGGACTCTATCGTGCAGTGGTTCAGGGCTCGTTTTCCAGCGCTAACCTCGGCTTTTCAAACCACAAAAGACGGCATTGTGACTGGTGGAGTGCACTGTAGCGTAGAGGCAGCCTGACACAAGTCAAAGTGTGTTCCAGGACACACCAGTTACCAGGCTACAGCGAGGTCTAAACCTACTTAAATCAAGCCCTAAAACAGATGGTACTGTGTGTGTGTGTGTGTGTGTGCGTGTGTGTGCGTGTGTGTGTGTGTGTGTGTGCGTGCATGCATGTGTGTTACCTTTATCTGCTGTCTGCGCAGCATTGCCAGCTCCCTCATGTCCCTGAAAGGCTGAAGTAGGTAGTGGTATAGCTGAGTCGTTGCCTCCAGCAGCTCTCCATACGCCTCGTCCTCCTCGGGGTACACCTGCAGCAGCTCCACCATGCTGTCCATGGCTTTATGCTTGTCCAACACCTGGGACAAGACGCACAGAGGAAAAAAGACAAAGTTCGGAAATTGGTATGGACAAAGATCCACTTCAAACCTGACAAGGCTGGCGTTGTTTCACATTTGTCTAACTGTCAATAAATCCTAAGAAAAACAGATGTCAATGAGATTAGGACTATAGCTCCAGTACTTGTCCATCACAACATTGCAGTTACTACTACGTTGGTCCAAAACCCCCCAAATAATTTGGTTTGCAATGATATATGACAAAGTGCAACAAATCCTGACTCTCATAACAATAATGTGCAAGTATTTGGCATCGTTTCACTAAAAGAAATTACTAAAAGAATTTCCCCTTGAGGGATTAATAAAGTGTCTCTTCTCTTCTTCTAATTTTGCTTCAAAAATGATTGAAACACTTTTGAGAGGCAACTTATTGATTTATCTGTCTCAGGTCCACCAACATTGTGTCAGTCAGTCTCTGAGTGCTTCCAGCCTGTATGTGGCCCTCAGCACACCAAGCTTGTGATTCATATTGAAGGATTCAAAAACTGCCTTAAGCTCGATGGTTCCATCTTCTCCAGTGTGAATATTTGAAGGTTTTCTGAAATTTCTATGAGAGTAAATTAAAACAATTTGGGTTTTGATCAAACAAATCAAGACATCAACACATCAACCCGTGCTCCAGGAGATTACCAAGAAATTTGAATTTGTTTAATCACATTATTTAATTATAATTAATAGAGAAAGTAATCTATAGTAGTAATCACAAACAGGAGTAAAGATTTCACTTGTTGGTGAGAATCTTCAGCTGCATATTCAGTGATCTGGAGAGAGTTAACATCAGCTGGACGTGTATGTGGGATCGACTCTAAATGAATCGGTGCCTACATTGGTCATAGTGATGATGAAGGGACAGGTCACCCAGTGCAACAGTGAAGTTCAGCATTTGAAAGCCTGTCTGGACAACGATGGAGGTAAGTAGAGCAAGAAATTGTAAAATTGTAGACATATTACCGGAAAATACTGTACATGACATTGCAGATTATACTAGAATGGCATTCAACAGAGCCCAAACCAAGGCCAAACAACCCTACGCCATTGCCCAGTGGTCTGATGAATGATTTATTCGTAATAAAACCTAGTACTAAAGTGGAAAATCAAGGTCTGTGCATAATTCGCTGAACATTTTCTGAAAATGTTCAAAAACTCAGTGATGCAAGGTAAAGAATGTGAAAGAAAAATGGAAGAACAATAGTCAAGAGAGTGAGAGTGCAGGCACGCTGGTGTGTGTGTGGTAAGGATTGATATCATAAATACATTGTTTGAGTGCAGTACAATGGGAATGAATTGGCCCCAGCTGCTGATTCATACCATATGTCCAGCAATCCACATTGTGCATTGTTGCTCAGATAAGCGCCATCAAAACAGCTATTGTACACACAAACACAATTAATCTCCCAACTCTCAGAGATCACTGCACCCGATTTCTACAGCACAATACACCTCCTTCACGTCCGCTTCATATGATATTGAAATGTACCACCACCCAATCGTCGTCCGGAGCAGTGAATGAAGTGCTCTTCTCTCTATAGATATGAATAGACACTCTTATGTTAACTCCAGGCTGCTTTTCCAAGGCCCTCCATGCTGGGGAGCGGGGCAGACACAGCGCGATTCAGCTCGAACACTGCTCCTACTGTTTACCTTGGGCCTGCGTCTCCCTGGTAACCGCTGACCAAACGTACACCGACTCCCTGCCCCTGCAGTCGTTGCCAGCCAGGAAAACCCCTGGGCTAAATGAGTCGACTCCCGCCAGGGCACCACTGAATTAGAGCTTTGCTGTTATCAACTTGGATTCAAACTAGCTTTTAGTTATAATTAGATTAATCACCGACATTGATTTGACATTTTTTAATATGATGCCCCATTCTACTGTAACTGTTTAACATGGTCGAATCTGTTTGTTGATGAGGGCCAGAAGGCCTGCGACTGCTTAGTGTGTTGAGCTGCTGAGCCAGCAGGATTACACGTCTTAATTAGAGCCAAAACTATTAGTCGATTAATCAAAAGCAAAAATACCAAACATTCTTTAGTCCTAGTTTTCCAGTGCAGAGGATTTCTGCTTTTCTTTGTCCTGAGTGATTATTTACTAAATATTTACTGGTTCTGGACTGTTAGTAAATTTCAATAAGTAAATTTGGGCCACAAGAAGTTGTGATGGGCAATTTTTAGTTATGTTAACGGTAAAGAAAATAGAAACATAATAACCAGCAGATTCATCAATCATGCTGAGCGCTTATCATGGAAGGTTAATTAAATTAATCTTACAACATTATTTATTGCTTTTCAGTGAAAGTAGGGTTGTGATTATATGTTGTTTCACAAAATAATGGTTTCCAAGCAAACTGTCATTAAACACTCAAGAAATAACAGTTCATTGAATGTTGTCAGTTTATTACCAGAGACTTGCGGGACAACATTTAGCATCCAAACATCCAGTCTGCTGCCAAAGGCACAACACAGGCTCTTCAAAATAGTTCTCTAACTTCCCCTTTCATTGTTTATGTTGTTACTGTTGTAAATTGTAGTAAATTGCCCCTAACTGCTGTTCCCACAGTGTGTGAATGATGTGTGATTCAAAAAGTGCTGCGTATAGAGGCGCAGAATGAATGTGTGAGTAAATGGGTAAAGGTGATTTTTAGTGTAAAGCACTTTGAGTGGGCGATAAGACTAGACCACAGTTATCCAGTCCATTTATATAAATGCAGAATATTTACCATTTGTTATAGAACAGAAACAAAGAGTTAAGTTATCTATTTTTTCCGTTGACACAAAATTATTTGAATATAAACTGTATAATTATAGGCAGCTTCCGCTAAACTCAATATTCACCCTATTGGAAGAAACATCATATGTATCATGTCCAGATGTCAGCCGTTTGGATGAAGTAGTTGTTGCTTGTTTTTTGCTATTTGCAGAAGTTCTACTTTAACGAACTCCTCCTAGAGAACAATTATTTCAATTTCATCCTCCAAGGTTTGGTTAGTGCAAACAAACAACCGTGACAGTGAAAATTTGTGCTAATCATGCGTTTTCCTTCAACAGCATTCCTGTGGCCATATCACCAAGGAGCATGAAACATGACTGAACATGATGACCTGGCGTGACCATATTTATATGCCAATATTCAAAATAATCATCGCACCCCCCAATAGCAACGGGATGCACGCCTCAACAGGATGTGACATTTAACTGATTCATGCACTGTGTATGCGCATAATGCAAAACCAAGCCATGTCAACCAACCTCTAAGAACTACACCACAGCCGCAGCGGATTCCAACATGTGCAGACTGCGAGGGCCTGACCATGGCTGTTTGCAGCTTTAATTCTGATTTGAAATGGCACTTAGACAAAACTGAAGATATCTTAGGATGTCATAGAGGCTCAGAGAAATTATGATAGGCATATTTTTACATGAACGATTGATTAATTATCGAGAATATAGTAAGTAGATCAATCGAAAAGGAAATGATTTGATATTTCAACCCAGTTTAATCCCAGTTATATTTGAGAGCAACATTTTCAAAATGTTTCTTTTTGCTGTCTGTTGACTCCATGACATTGTAAAAGCATCAAATTGATCTCTTACTGTGCTAATGCAAATCTTTAAAAGTTGTTGCTGATAAATCACTTATGATATCCCAAACAAATACAGACCAAAACTGCTGAATTAAAGCAGTGAGTGTATACACTTATTTTTCACTTTTCCAACTTATTTGAAAGATGTCACATGTGCTAAATTTAGCTGTTAAGTCTCATTTCACTCCGAGGAGCAATGACATCGTAATTACAGGATGTTGTGAGTGATTTGAGCTTCAGTGTAGCCGGTGCAGCCCTGTCATCAGAACTCACTCGTCCAGTTTGTCGCAGCTAAATCTGCTCAGCCTTGCTGGTGTACTTTTCTCTCTGCCTTTTAATTGAAACATCTCACAGGAGGAACACGCCTCCACTGTGATCTGAGCAGACACAAAAAGCTCTTTTGAAACTGAATGTCCATCCAAGAGTTGTCAAAAGCAAAGTTAGTCCGAAAGGGAACACCAGTATTTTGCAGAACTGCCACCAGTTGAGAATCAACTGAACTCAGACCTGCTGCCACAAATTCTTTCAGCAAATTACATCCGTACAACATTAACATGATAAGATCAACGTGGACCAGACTGATCAATCAACACAGCACAAGACGCAGAAGCATGCGACGTACTCTGCACAACATCCCTCACTTAGCTGTTGGTTCAGACCTGGAACGACAGGCTTCACTGGTTTGTTCTGCTTTGGATCAATGTCAGCAGGTACTCGCCACCGTTGACCACGAGAGCTCCACAAGCCTCTGCTGTTTTGGGGATGCTTTATTTGAGTCATGTGGCTCAGATCTTTACACCTGCTGACTACGAGAAGAGACTGTTCCCTTAACTTCTAAAATATTCCCACACTTTGAGATGTGAAATTCATACAAGATAATCTGCATGAATCACTTCATCCGTTAGTGGGCATAATGTTTTGGCTCATCATTGTACTATAAGTATTTTTGCTGGTGTATATCAAGTACAACAGTAACATTTGTACCTGTAGATGACAGAGACAGTCTCAACACGTAACAAGCAACTTGAGAACAGTATTACTGCTCTCAGCTCAAAGATACCCTCAGGTGATGATTTATTACACCACTCAGAAACTTGTGTAATACAAATGTGCTGCAATATATCCTCACTGTACGGAGAATATAATGTTTGGTTGTAGTCCATACTGTTTTAAAGAGGTATTGATTCCAGAGTACGATTTGCTTGGAGGATGCAGTTTGTGGTGCTGCTCGACTAAACTGCATAATACTGAGGTGGTTCTGATCATTCAAATAAATGGGGCGAGCAAAATATTCGAACCAACTCTGGGTCCAATGCAGTACAATTCAAAATCACCTCACACTGCAGCTTTTGTAATGAGGGATGAGATAAACTAGTCTGAAATATGAACTGCATTAAAATATGTCGACTTAAAGTCTCGAAACTCATAATGTGTTTTGTTTTCTAATGTTTTATAGACCAAGTGATAATCAATTCCACTCGTGTTTGATGTAAACCACCCAGCCGGTTTTAATCATGCTGTTCAACTTTCTGCGTTTCAGTTTAGTTAATGTTTTATCATTTTTTAATTATGCTTTACATGGTCTTGACCAACAAAGAGCTTGCAACGTGTCAGGTTTACTGTAGGGGAGCTGTTTGTATTTAAAGACAGGCCACAGATAAACTTTGTTCTGTGGTCAATGATTAACAGACGGATGCCCTACATCTGATGACTGTTTTCCACAGTCTGTCCTCATGCATACTTGGCCCCAGTCATTATCACACATCATAGTCAGGAGACTGAGGCTGCATCTTATGAGAAGTTGTGGTCAGGGCACAACAGTGGTTCTCCACCTGATCCTCCCAAAAAGTGTTTGTCATAGTATCCCACAACACAACACAACACGTGCTTTACACTGCTTGTTTTTGTCATTTAGACAAATGATTCATTTAGAGAAAGAAAAACATCATAATCTCAAATTTGAAAAGCTTAAACCAGTTTTGCTTGAAAATGACTGACCGGATTATTTCCTCCTGTAACCAAGGAGGTCATGTTTTCACCCCTGCCAATTTTGTTTGTTGGTTGGTTTGTCAGCAGGATTTCACAAAAACAATGGAACAGATTTCCACAAAACTTGGTTGAAGGATGCAACACGCAAAGAGAGAGAGAGAAAGAACCCGATACATTCTGGGGTGGACCCAGGAAGTTTTCATCACTTTGGTTTTTTGACATTTACGCCAGTTTCCCAGGCGATAATTCATGGATCTTGATGAAAAACATCAGGCATGTTTATGGGAATGATATCTATCTATCTAAGAGTGTGTGTGATTTGGTATGGATACAAATAAAAATCAGTTTGAATATCAAAAGTACTTAGATGAATCAATGCAGCTCAACAGTATATTACTGAGTAACCTCAAGGGTCAAATGCAGATAAACTCTCATTCTATTTCCACAGAGGCGTGTGTGTGTGTGTGTGTGTGTGTGTCTTTTCTTCATATCTCAACATTCCAATAAATCTAGACTCCGGCCTCCAAACTAGTGGGACCAGGTCAGTGCTTGGCTTATTATAATACCTACAGTCTCAGTGACCAGGAAAATGGAAGCACGTGCACTGCCCTGCACTTTAGCAGAGCGGTATCATGGGGTCCTTCTGGGGCTGTTGTTAGTGACTGAGCTGGCTTGCATTAGATTACAATGTGTTTTTGTGTTCCATACATGTAAATGGCATAGACACAAATATTAAATACACATTCAATAGACACAGGACAAGATACAAAGACAAATATGTATGTCTGTTTTTTATGGCTGCAACTAACAAGAAGATGTTTTCAGATGACTAAGATACTTCAAATTGTTTTAGTCAGACCAACAGTCTAAAACCAAAAGATATTTAATGTCCAATGATATCAAACTGAAAAAGCAGCAAAAACCTCACATTTGAGAAACTGGAATATTTTCAGCTGCTTTTTTCTCTAAACAACAACAAAATAATTCCAGTCGATAGAAACAAATCAATTAATTGACAGTTCATATCAGCTCTACTTCTCTCTATCATTTCAGCTCTGCTGTGTTTGTCCTCATGCAGACAGACACATTTCTCTGCTTCCCTTTTCATCCTTGTTTTTGACATATTCTCCGCAGAGAATCCAGGAAACTCACCACTGACAACAACAATAACAGGGGCCATGTCCTTCCAAGACGTTTGTGCAAGAAGAGCTCTGTATACACTCAAAACAACTGCATATTTATTATGAAGGTTGCAGTTTGTAACCACATGTTTGTAAAGGGTGTTGGCAAGATTTAAGTGAGCATCACTATCTTGGTGAAGGGAACATTTATGTCGGAGCTATTGTCTGCGATTCAATTATATTTAACCAGTGTACCCAACAAAGTGGCTTCAGAGCGTATAAGTGAGACATTATGTCTTTTTAAATAACTCTCTTCCTGGTTCCTTACCCTGCTGTTTGCTCTTTGTGTGTTCATCTGCTGAACAAAACAACAGAGCAGGTGAAAGACTTTTCCTGCTGCTCTGTCTCCTCCCTGCTTGTGTTTACACTTCATAGTAGTAGTATAGTATATAGTATATTGGGCACAAGAGGATAACCTTTGACACTTATTCAATGCACATAAATGAAAACATGTGTTAGCTCCTCACACATTTGCTGGGCTAAATGTGTGTCTGCAGCTTTCTGGACCAACACTGAAACAATCCCAACAGCTGTGCTGACACGTCACTTCGGTAACTCCACCTCTGATTGTTCTCCCCCCTGTCTTTTTGCTCGACTCCCTTCACACTGCTCAGCCAACTGGAGTGTGATGTCTGGCCAGAGCCGATCATATTACAGGCCTGTGAACTCGCAGCAACAGATGGTTTATCACAGGAGGGGGGGGTGCAAAGGAAGAGGAGGAGAATGAGCCGACCAAGAGGCACAATTATGCTCTGAAAACTACAGACTGGATGGGACCAGTTTGGTTTCTCCAAGTGAAAGTTAAGACTTCTTACATATCAATGTCACATGTCATTGAACACCTGTCTTGTGAGCATCAGGATATCAATAAAAACCGGTAGGACCAGAATCGAAGTGCACGTCATCTTTCAGTGCTTCTACATAATTACTCCTCATGTTATTTATCACCAAATATAGGGAATCAACCAATGATTAATTTCATTAATGATTACTCTGCACATTGTTTTATCATCAATTAACATTTTTTGTCCATAAAATATCAAAGAAAAGCTTCTCTCATCCCAAGATGACAACTTCCACTGACTTGCTTTGACTGGTCAACCATCCCAAACCCAAATATATCAAGTTTCAAGTCATATATAGCAAAGAAAGACTAAATATTCATGTTTAAGAAGCTAGAAACAACAAATGTTTGACACTATTTTTGGTACTAGACTATTTGCAGGTTAATTTTCTGTCCGTCGCCTAAATTGATGGATCGTTGCAGCTGTAGTGGATCTGGATGAGCAGCAAAAAACTGGACGAATAAATGGATGGATGGTGATACACAGGTGTATTTTGAACATAATCAGAGGTGTGGGAGAACAGAAATTGAGATTTTCTAGTTTTTGTCAATAATCACATACTCTAACTCATTATATCTTCATGTTTTTGGGTTATTATATGGAATTAGGTTATGTTTTTCTCTTTTTAAATACCTTTTTATGACTTAAAGACCTGCTCTGTCTTAAACGACTTTAAAGAGAGTATGTGTGCTTTTAGAAATTCCCAAAATCGTGCCAAATACTTCATGTCCTTGATCCACAAACTAAACATCATCTCTTCACATCGGATGTAAATTTGAAATGCACGTTTCACCTCTTGCATGCTTCTTTTGGCCCTCTCCTGCGCATCCTCGTAGCCCTTCTGCCTCAGCTCGCTCAGGCTCTCGTAGTACTCCTCCGTGTCGTCGCCCCCGGAGAAAAGCACCTGCGACAGGATCTTCCAGCCGCAGGTGTCCAGGGCATGACCCAGGTACACCTGCAGCTGGTAGCACAGGGCCTCCGTCTCCCGCTGCGACACCCCGGGGGCACCGAAGAGCACCGTCCAAACTCCGGACTGCTCCTCCGGGAAACTCGGCAGACACGGCTCCAGGTCGGAGTTGACGGAGCACAGCTGGAGGTGGGCTGCCCTCAGGTCCTGGAAGGAGAACAGCCCGGCCCAGCTGAAGTCCTCGCGGCCGCTGGCGTCACGGTCCCCTGGGTCGGACTCATCCGGAGACAGCGGGACATCCACGGGGTCAAGGATCTCGATGTCCACCACCTTGGGAGTCACGATGTCCCAGGACCCTAACGTGTGGCTGATGCACTCTAATGTCTGTGAGCCACCAGCCTTTAAAGCCCTCTTGTCCCCGGCACCAGGCTTTGTTGTGGTCTTTCCTTTGGGGACGGAGTGGGGTCTAACTTTAGCCTCGTCTCTCCTCTTGGTCCCTGGACTTTTCGCGTGTTTTTCTGCCCCGGAGGCTCCGCAGACAGGAGGCACGGCGGAGCCGGGGCTGTAGTCGAGCAGCGGGTCCAGGAAAGTGGCCCGTCTCTGCACGGTTCTGTTGTGGCAGGTTATGGCGAACTTCCCCTCGACATCGTTCCAGGCCACGATGAAAGCGAATTTGTGCCTCTCTCTTTCGTCGAAGAGTCGGGGTCGGACGGACACCCACCCGGACTCCAAGTTGTCCTCCATGGTGAATGACATCTCATCCAGCCAGTGAAGAGGAGACGAGCAGATTAAAACGTGAGCTGGGGGGAAAAAAATGTCGAGGCTAAAGGGCTTCGGCTAGCGAGCTAACGACAGGCGCCAGCCCGGAGAGAAGCACCGAAGCAGAGGCGAATAACCCGGCTGAAATGAAGCGGTGACACACAAAGGGACTCCGGCTTTGTTTACCCGCTGCCAGCTGCGTGTGAGCGGCGGAGTGCGCAGCTGACGTCGCTGTCCGCTCCGGAGGGCTCCGGGATCCAGGCGCGAGGGAGAAGTTCACCGGACTCCTCGGTGCGAACGCAGCGGGCGACTGGGCTTCATTTCGGGGCAGATCGCCGAGAGGGGGTCGGTTGTCATGACGCCTGTCCGCTCACCTGGCCGCCGCCGCCGGGGCTCGGTCACAACAACGACGCGGACCGTGAGAGTTCCTTTGTCCGCTCGCACACAATGCGACCGCGCGCCGTCACGTGTGAGTCTGTGTTTACAAGCAGACAAGGTGCGTGCGTGCGCGTGTGTCAAACCGGGGAGGGATTTCACTGCTGCACCCCCCTCCTCGTCCCACGCGATGCCTTCACTGACATGATGAAAATACCAAATGTGAGGACTGATCCGAATGTCGTTTGCTGTATGAGACAAGACATTACATATCTTTTAACTGGCACTTTTATCCAAACATACAAACCCAGAACAGTAAGATTCAAGTACGTACAATTAGCCTTTAAAAAGCCAAACTATAAGTGCTAAATATAAGTGACTCTAAACTTAATTATTTAAAATTTTAAATATAAACATACACTGGATATAAGATGTCCTCCTCTTGGTTAAGAAGATGATGTCTAATAACCATCCCGAGACAAGACGAGATGAGACAAAACAGACATATAAGATAACATACGATAAGATAAGAAGAAAGTGATTGTGCCACTATCAAGCACTTCAAGTACATGAAGTACAGAGAGAGTGAAAATAAAAAGTACTAAAAGTATTGTAAGTAAAGATAAAATGATGAAGTGTACATGAAGTAAATGCGGAATCAGCGCCTGATAGAAGTAAAAATAGAAATGAATATAAAATAAGTAAATTGTATGAGACAGTGAACTAATACTAAACTAAACTTGGAGTAAGTAGTAGTGATAATAGCATAAAGTCATAATATGATGGAAAAACAGTAATATTACACGTGAATACTAATATTACACGTGATATTTGACATAATATGATGATAATATTTCACATGCATATCAATATTGCACAATATTTAACATAAGTCGGTGAATAAAACTGTAATATTGCACAATGATATTACACATCTGGAGTAATATTGCACTTCTACTGTATATGTTGTTGGCATTATTTCTAATTGTACGGTTGTCAGTGGTAATAATACATAATGTTGTTGATCACTTTTTCATTAAAAGGGTGTATAAAAATCTAAACATGGGTGGAACTACCAGGGGTGAGGGTAATAAGATTATAGCAAGCTGGCATGTCCTGACCATACAGCTGCAAGCTATGCAGTGGTAAAGTATATTATATAATGTTAAAGATTGTTCATCTTGGCATTCATTTATTACAAAGAACAAACAATTTAGTATTGCACATTCATGTTTTCGCAAACATCTATCGTTCTGAACTTTCGAGTTATTGTATATTTTTATATTTTCCAGAATGTGCCTCTTGTTTCCCAGACGACGTGAAGGCACCACAACGGTCCCTTTACTTCAGACTGTAATAAATCAAAGCAGAGTCCCTGAACCTAACAACAGACGCAGATAACGATGACATTGTGTTTCCTCTGTCAGTGCTTCGACGCTGACGATCGCATAACATCTTCGTTTGCCTCCATGGCGGCTCTTTCTTTGTTTCACGCTCATCCCTCTGACTCCTGCAGACGTGCACGAGGAGCATAAACATCTGCACGTGGGCAAATCCGTGACGCAAGCACGCAGGGAACGTGCAGACGGCCGGATGCTGTATGGAAACCCGACTGAGACAAAAGACAGTTGGACATAAACAAAGGGAGAAATGTCTCTTCCCACCATGCTGTATTCATATCCATAATGATCTCACTGTGGAAAACATAGTGATACGACTAGTCTGAATGATCAGTGCCAATAAAGTAAAGTAATTACAATCTTGCTTTAAGGCCCAGTCCAAGAAGAATCTTTTCAGCTGCTCTCTCCTGGAGGGGCTTTGTTGCTGTCTGTGTGTATGGGATCATGGTGATGTTGGAAAATCCCTTTCCTGCCAAGCCTATATAGACCACTAGTCATCTTCTCATTCAACATCTCTTCATTTAATCTTGCATTCAAAGAGAGATCTATAAATCCCTCAGTCATGCAGCCCCCGCGTCAGTCCGATCCCCTCATGTCATGTTTCACAGTCGGCACACCGCGGTTGCCGGTCCTCGTCAGATCCAAGCCAAACACACTGGAACCCGTCTGATCAAGACAAATTCATTTTTTGGTTTCCTCTGACCAGAGGATGTGCTGCCAGTATCCTGCAGGCCTCTTTTCATTTCTTTGGTGAAGTTTCATCTTGCAGTTTCGTGGTGGTTGAGAGCAATGCTTCTGTGCACTCTGTCTAATGGTTCCTCCTGCATCTTCTATATCTTTACAGTATGACCAGTAGCTTTGTGATGTTCTTGCATCCTCTCCAGTCTTCATGAAGTCTCACAGTCTGGTTCATTACATTGTCAGACAGCTCTGTACCATGTGGAGCCATGTTGCATTCGTCTAAACCCAGGACAAAAGTGAGGAAGCTGTGACATCTAGGGATTAACCTTTGACCTTAAAGGTTCAGTGTGTAGAATTGAGTGACATCTAACGGTGAAGTTTCATGTTGCAGCTGAACACCCCTCACCTCACCCTCTCCTTCCAAACATGACAGAGAACCTGTGGTAGCCTTCAGTTGTCATAAAAACTCAAAAGGTGTTTAGTTTATCCAGTCTGGACTAATGTCAAAAACATGGCGGCCTCCGGAGAGGGTCCCCTCGATGTAAATATAAAGTATTTGAATATAAACGGCCCATTCTAGAGTAAAGAAAACAACAATTCATAAAATTTTGATGAAACACATGAGTGAAAACATAACTAGGCTTAATTTTAGTTCCCTTTCACCTGAATCTTATACACTGGACCTTTAACTGGAAATCACAGGCACAATGCCTTTTGTAATTGCTTATATTTTCTATATTGAACTAACCCTTTGGTTTGTAATCATACATAAGATCAAATTCACTACAGTTAAACTGTAAGTTGATACATTCTAGCTGGAAGATGTTACGGTTTTAAGTCATTTAACATATCAGTGATATTGTACAGGGATGTTTTAGTACATTAATATTAAGTACATTTGTATAAATGTAAAAACGGTATGGTAAGACATCACTTAAGGGTAAGTGAATCGTATTTTGCTTTAATCAAATCTACAAAACGGAGGCAGAGAGCAGTTAATGTTATTTATTCAGTTGTGGAATGAAGCAGAAGGGGTGGTGTCTTCTTCAAAAGCAAGTTTTTATTTATGTTGTATATTTTAGTCATGTTAGTGAGTTACTCTGAATAAGATTAGCCTAAAAATGTGTCTTATGTGTTGTTATTCACTGACGGCTGGCTGATGAAGATGCTATGCTTTTTAAATGTATTCATGCCTCCTTCCTTATGGACTGCAGCCTCTAGCAGGGCTCATGAAAGCACGTTCAAAGGAGACTAGGAAATGCTTTACTTGTAGTTCCCAGGGTGAACGCCATGCTTTATTTTTAATAACGAGGTCCACCAGGGGCGTAAGACCACATACTAATATTCCCACATCTCTGTGTACAGATGCAGGATGTCAGCTGAGGAAACACAGGATATCAAAATTCCCTTTGGACCTCCAGTATAAAAACCCACATGTAAGTAAATCATTACCATGGTAATTCGTCTCTTGGAAAGAAAAGATAGAGCAGTGACAGTCTAGACTTTAAATTGACATGTGTGGGTTTGTTTTCTCTCTCGTCCAGTGACTTTAACATCTTCAGCAATGAGAACTTAACATGCAGTCACCTTTAAAACCTTAATACTTACATACATTACATTATTTCATGGAATTACTTCATTATGACTCAATTTTGATTCTGTCCTTATTATTTTGACCACTAGATGACAGCAGCAGTTCCTCTTCGATTTGGACTCACTTGTCGTATCTCAAATACAGAGGTGCAATGCTGCCACCTTGTGTTTGTGATACTAAAGAGCAGAAGATTTAGATGAGTGAAACACTGTATGAGGATCATGTTGACTTGTTGAAGTCTCCAGGGCCCAGTTCTTCTCATATTACTGTAATAACAGAATAGCTTATATAGCCATATTACATCTGCCTCCTATCTAGCACACTTTTAATCATTATTAAAACACATCTCTTATCTTTGGCCTTCTTTTCGAGTTGAGAATGTTTTTATCCAAGCAGATTTTATTTTCTTTCATTCTATTTTCTTTATTTTCTTTTTACTATTGGTATTTTAATGTATTGCATGTTGCTGTCTTCTTCTTGTACCTTTTACTTTGTGAAGCACTTTGCTCCTCTGAGGGGTTTTAAATGTGCTATATACAGAATTATCCACATTATATGAATTTGGTGGAGCGAAACTCATATCTGAACTCAGTGTCACATGCAAATCCCTCACGTTCTTAATAATGTTAATGCTCTTTCATTATAGATTTATTTGATATGAGTACGGTCATGTTATTGATGATATATATCGACCTGATGGCACAATTATTACAATCATAATATAAATTATTTAACAAAATAAAGGATTGAGTACTAAAACAGAAAAAATATAAATGTTGCAGAGAGCAAAAAGTCAAATAAATATAAAATACTCAACAATTGAGTCACTTGACAATAAAATGGGAATTTGTTTACGCCGAATCATTTTAAATATTAACAATTGAAGCTGTTGTTTAAGAGATTTAGAAAGGTTGGTGATTGTCACTGATGGCAGGAGACGCATCAAACATCATTTACTGTTTGACCCTGTTCAGTGGGAGTGTCAGTGATCCAAGTGTCATCATCAGAGAGCACAAAACCAAGAACATGCAGGAACACAAAATTAGAGTGAATTGTCCTCCAGGATTAAAATCAACTATTGAATCATATTCAACAAGTCAGATGGGCTTGATAAGACGCCACAGGTTTGATTTAACCTGATAACAGCATCTTAGCCCGTAGTAAACCACAATTAAAGCACAGGACTGATATGTTACAGTAACCAAACACATCCAACAAGGTAAACTTCTGTATCACACACATGTGACCAAAGTTAAGGTAAAAAGGTTAAGGTAATATCTTCCACTATGTAGGTCATCCACTATAATAAAGCTAGCATGTGTTCTTTAATGGGGAAGATATTTATTTATTTACATAAATATTTATTTCATCCCCTTGATTCTGCTGTTTATCTTTTATTTTTCTCACATTTTTGTTTTAATTGATTTCTTTTAATTTCGTCACTGTTGTTTTTCATGTCCCTGTACTGCATAAATGTCTTTTTTTATTATGCCTTTTATTGTTCCCATGAAATAAAATATAGACACACACTTCTCTAAAAATCTAAATGTTGCAACATAACAGTCAGGAAACAGTATTTTGCTGTATCTCCCACCACTTTAACCTG